AGAGAGAGCTACAGCTGAATTTCCCGAGCCCCAGACACTTACTATATCCTCACTGCATTGTCAGCCTGCTTGTTATAAGCCTGTGTTAGCACTTTTTGGTTATGGTTCTGTCAAATCCCAGGCCACTCGTGCCTCCCTTGCCCTTGCCTGTGTTTTTATAAAGTATTATGATTCTTCCTAATCCTGGGCTTTGTTCCTTTAGAAAAACACTGCAACTCGATCCCTCTCAGTTAATGTCATGGGACTGAGTTCACTCCGACTTGGCTTTAAGCAACTGATGCTCAAAACATCTGGCCCATGTGGGTAGTAGCTGTGCTGGGGAATGCGAACCCTACCAGTTATCACAGGTAAGTATGCCACCACTCAGCCCCCCGCAGCTCCCACCATCAACGTCCCGTGGAGGTAACCATAACTTCAGCCACTGCATGGGTCCCCCACTCTCCTCCTTTGCTGCCCAGATGGGGAGAAATCAGAGGAAATTGGAGAATTCCTCTCTGACCGGGCTCGGGTCAAGGTAAAGAATAACAGACCCCACATGCAGTTCTGAGGGCAGGACCTGATCGATGGCCATGCCACTTAAACAGGTTAAAAATGCCTCTAATGGAAAGGCTTAAAGCCCCTTCCCATAAGCCCAAGTTCTCTTCCAATTCTTTTCTTGCAAGAATGGGAGCGGGAAGAGAATTAATGGGGAATTCCTATGTGGTCAATTAGCCAGACCCCCTTCCAGGCTCTCCTGGCACTGGCTGGAGTGACTGATGACTGAGGCCTGCCATATGCTGACTCGGTAAACAGCGCAGAAGGACTGACCGCCACAGTCCGCCAGACAGGGTGACAGATAAGGAACGGGGGGAAATAAAAGAGGGTAATGGAGACCAATTGGAAGAAAAAGACAGATGGAAGGAAAGGACATATTGAGATAACAGCCAAAGACAAACAAACAAGGGCAGTAAAGCCAGGAGCCACCACCACAAGGCCTCCGACGTGGAGTGAAGGGGTGATGGGGTCAGGGCTGCCTGAAAGATAAAAGACCTCTGGTCCCCTCGTGTCCCTCTCAGGTCCCCTTCTGAGAATCACGGAGAGCAGGGACAATCTTTTCTCCTGCCACCAGAGCTCCTCAGGGTTCAAGGAGAACTTTCTCACCCACAGGAAACTGAGTGAGGGGACACGCCAAAAGCCTGACTAGAAATCTGAAGACATCAACTGAAACACTGGCTGGGAAAGCAGGGCAAGGCTGTATGTGGGATGGCACCTGGTGGCCACTTAGCAGTGCTCACTGCCCTGTCTCCTGTACTCCTTTCTTTCAGCACCAACTTTCGGGAGTATGGAGTTACACGTGCACCTTCCTGCTTCCAAAACCAGAATCTCAGAAGTTTAGGAATGCAGGACTAGACGGGACCTCCTCGGTTATTAAGTACGATCTCTTGCTATTGTAGGCACTGCTTCAAATAATATTTTCCTTAAATGTATAGAGTGCCCTTTTAAAAGCAATTAGGTTTTCAGCCACCATTATTCTGATCACTATTCCAATGATAAAATATCTTTTTCTAATTTCCAGCCTAAATGTATTCACTTCATGCCCATTTGTTATTGTGCCAAATTGGCCTTTTGCTTTAAAAGTACTTTTCCGTCCCTATTATTTCTGCCACTAACACAGACATCAGTCATATCTTCTCTCAACTTTCACTTTGCTAGGCTAAACATGACAAGCTATTCTAGCCCACTTTCTTAAGAAAAGATTCCTATCCCTTGGGTCAGCCATGACAAGTCTTTTCTAGTCTGAGGTCATTTTACTTGGGAATATGAGAACATACAATATTTTGGGGCCTCACGAGAGCTTAATACAATGGCATTAGTATTCCGCCATGTTTTATGAAAAGACTTTCCCTAGTACATTATAGGATATTTACCACCTTCTGAGCAGTCATGTGCAGGTGACTGCTGCGACCAATTCTTTTAGTCATTTCCTAATGACTAAAAATGTTTTTCATACAAGACCTCAAATGATGGTCTTAATGTTTTATTGGATGTCATGAGCTGCTGTACAAAATTCAGATTCTCCTCTGTATCCATAATACTTGCCACCTTTGCATCACCAGCAAATTTCATCAGCCCATTCCTAATTCTTGTATTGAGGCTGAGAAACAAAAATACTAAGCGTTGGCCTTGAGACAAGTCTTTGAAGAACTCTGCTAATTAAGCTCTGTTAAGATCAAGATACATCCTTTCACACAACTTATTGACATCTTTGCTTGAACCAGTTTCTTGTCCATCTCATAGCTGCTGCATTTTTCCTTCTCTTTCCCAATTTAATCAAGCATTTCCCATGTGGGAAATACATTAAACGTCTCACAGAAGCTGAGATAAATTAGACCTATCAGATCTACTTTGCTTTTTAAGAAATCAGTGATGTTCTAAATGATTGTGTGATCCTTCTCAAATTATTTCCCATTTTGCCTCTTTTAAGATATCCTTTCCCCTAGGTCCTCCTGTAAATGCTGCCGAAGTCACACTGCCTGCGCTGCCAGGTGTCAGCTCTTTCAGAGTGCCAGGAAAGAAAGTGGGCACCCACTGTGACTTGAGAGCTTTACGCTACCTGAGTTTTGCTTCCACCTTAGTGGTGACAATTTTCATTTCCAGTCTTTCTCCTTTGCTCCCACACTAATATATTTCTAAGAGTGAAGAGGAAAAGCTGCCCTGTACTGGCCAAATACCATCCCGAACAGACAACCCTGTAACCCGCAGCAATGCCATCTTGGAGCCATCCCAGGTCTCATCTCCCGTTCCTTTCATATTTGTCTCCTTTCCCGATCCCAGCATCTCCATCCCTCACTACCCCCAAATCCTCATCCACTCAATCCACCCCAAAGCCTCAGCCTCATTTACTCGAGAGCCCTCTGTTCTTCCAACCCTTTGCTGCCCCTTGACTCCCATCTGATTCATTTGACCCAATCCCAAACTCCCTTCCACCAGCAGACCCCTGCACCATCGCACCCATCCCAGGTCTGCTGGCCCCAAACATCAGAACCCTGTACCTGTCTGAACGCAACAGCTGCCTCCTCGTGCCTTCCTTATTCCCACAGGGTGCCAGCACCATCGTCCACTGCCTACTGTGATAGACCTTGCCTGTCCCTAGGGCACTCTGCCTGGCTTCCTCCAAAAAGCACGGTCCCAGGGACATTAAAAAATCTACACTACGAGCACTTACTCCCCTAGGCACAAATGTTGAAGGCAGAAAAAGACATCTCCACTGTGCAGGCAACACGCAGTACCAGTCCCCATGAGCAATGTCCCCCATACTGACTTGAAATCCCAACTAAAGCACTCATTTACTTTGGGGACAAAAACTACTCTGTCTTTAGACTCAGCCCCATCCCTATTGACTAGCAGCCTCCTTTCTACAGCCTCCTCCAATTTACAAAGGTTAAAAAACTTTTATTGTTTATTTTACTACCCTTTGCAAGGTCTGACTCAGCATGATTTTTTACTGTTCTCACTTCATCTTTACACTTCTTGACCTCTAAGACAGAGCTTTTCATTATTTATTTGCTATCAGTTCTTTTTTTTTTCCATTCTTAATAGGCTCTTGGTCTATTCCTAACAGTTTCTCTGTGGTAGTTATTCATTCAGTGAGGTCTGGATATTCTTCCTACAAGCTTTTTCCTCTTGCTTGGCATGCAGAATTGTAATGGCTTTAGCATCTTTGACTTGAAAAAGTTCCAGACCTCCTCCACATCGAGTTCCTCGGCTGAGTTTACTAACTGGCTCCTTTAGTTTATCAGAGTTTCTTCTTTGAAATCCACAAGCTTAATTACACATTGGTTTATACTTCCATTTAATTTAATCTAAAATGACTTGTGTTCATTTAATCTAAGGTTATTTTCTATGGCCATCTGTTCTACAGAGTCTACAAAAACCAAGCTTGAAATAACATTGTCTTTTGCTGGGCCCTTTGGAAAGCTTTTGTCCAGGTCCTGGGTTAGCTGGAGGCAGAGAAATCGCCTTGAGAGCTTATCTATGGAGTCCAAAGAAGCACGGGCACTGTAGCATACCAAGCACAACTTAGATAACTTTCTGCACTGTAGTAAAGGCAGGACATAACTGTTTTTAGCTCTATCCTTAAAGCAGGAAAAAGCTTTCTTCCATCTAAAACTGTATCATAATCTGAAATCACAGCTCAGTTGGATTCTTGCCCATATAACAAGAAAAACAAGCCAGGGTAGTGTTTCACCCATGCTACAGAGCAAGTATCTTCTGACTTGATCTTCTAATACACGTTACCACAGTTCAACTGGCGCCTCAAAGTATTGGCCATATTCTGTCTCTGGATCCCTCACGGCAATAGGACTGGCTGTTAAAAAGTCTCGTAACATATTCACTCCCTATTTTAGGCAGGGTATTTATTTGTAGTAACCCAAGTTCATGACTCCAGACATGTAAGATGTTCAAAGCAAGTATTGCAGACAAGAATGCCACTTTCAGGCTACTATTCCGTGGAGAAATGCCTCTCCATTTCTAAGCAAATGCAGACCCCCTGCCCTTGCAAGCCAAAAAAAAACCCCGCAAGCCCAAACCAAAACCCACTGAGTTCTACAGCTTTCAAGTCCACGGTTTTCCACCTACTGCAAATTTAACCCAATTTGATTTTGCAAAAGAAGAATGGAGTATTTGCAATGCTTCAACCTGACACACTGATTTCACAATCAAAAAAAAACCAGAGCAAATCTTCAGCGGCTAAATGAAGCTGAAATTACACACAGAAAAGACAGACATACGTGGGAAAGGGAAAGATAATTCAGTAACAATTAGAAGTTAGAAGAGTAGAAAATTGTTAAGGAAACTAAGGATATTAGTTAAGAATGTGCAAAAGAGCAAGGCTAAGTACACTTAATAGGATTTTTAAATATGCATTAGAAATAAAATTAACCTTAGAAAAGCTCACTACTAGAGAAGAATGGTAAAAATTTTAAACACCCTGTGGAAAAGGGACAAATACTCAAGTAAGTATTCCTGTTCTACATTTGGAAAGAGGCAGGATTATACAGTTGTACCACATATGAATGATGCTACACCTTCCAGGCTATTAATCACAAACAAAGAGATTGTGTAAAAAGCAAACGTGCATACACTGAACGCATACAAAGGGGAAAACTTCATCTACATTTACAGCATCAGTGAGACCAATACCAGGACTCAGTATGTCATTTTGGTATCTACTTTCTTAAAAGATATGGGAAAAGTGGAAAGGTACACTAAACTGACATGAAAATGATTTGACGGCTGATGAGAACATCTGAAAGTGAGAGTCTTCAGCGCTCAAATCTAGTTTGTCAAGAATGAGTGGTGAATAAATTACAGTAGATAAATACATCTACGCAGAGGAAATTCTGATTACTAAAGGGCTTTTCGATCTAGCTGTAAAAGTCAGAAAATGAACTGATGGGAAGCTGACACCAGATAAATTCAAATTATAATAAGGCACGGTGTTGAAACAGGGTGATTAATGATGGTAGCATATTACAAAGGGAAGTGATGGATTCTCCATCCCTAGGGGTCTCCAGATCAAAACTGTGTATCTTCTCAGAAAATGTCTGTCACCTAGATGCAAATTATTTATTTTGCCCAATACCAAGGTAACTGAGCAAGGCATAAATTTCAGACATAGCCAGGTAATCTGATTCAGTGTTTGCTTCTGCCCTTGTACTCCCAAAAATCTGAATCATGGCAAAAGAAGAGAACTCCATGTGCCAGCAGATTCTCCTCTTCACCACCAGCCTGTCATTTTGGCAGCTCTGGGAAGCCAGTTTCTGAGACATAAACCTTGAAAGTGGGTCACGACAGCACCTAGTTTATTTGGAAAGGGTTTACATGTCTGGGCACATGTGCTATGCAGTATCTCAACAGACTCAAAACTCACTGGCTTTAGCTGGCAATGGAAGCCTGCCATTAAAGCTGGAGCATACCATTGGCAATATTGTCTGCAATAGTCACAAAAATGCAGAAAATGTGACCATACACTGTTTCAAGGGAGTTACTGGGGCATCATTGGACGATCCCTCATTAAACCACCAAGTAGCTTGGTATCTGGCTATCTCGAGCCTTCCGAATCTGCCTCTGAGAAAGAGGAAAGGATCAGCATTGGTCTTACCCTACGACCAGCCTCGTTGTTCTGCAAGTTCATCAGCATGCGAGCCTGCTCCTCTGAACCTCTCACATAGTTCTTCTCCCTCTCCTTGGCATCCACAAATTCCTTGGCAAAACGATATCCGTACTCCACGTTATCCCCGCAGCCACCCCACAGCCAGTCTCGGGGCAAGTCCTTGGGCCGGGCAGTCCGGCTGCAGCCACAGCTGGAGAGCTCTCCTTCACGGCAAGCCCGGCTGATGGCATTCACCACCCCAGCAGCGCTGACGGCGTAGGTGAAAGCAGTCTCTCGGCTCCCTGTGAGAGAGACGTGAGAAGCAAATTAACGAGAAGCAGATCTCATTTAACAAACGCAACACGCAGCAAGGAGCAAGCAAACAGGCTCCGGACAGTAGGACATGATGAGCTCTGAGAAGGTACACAGAATCAACTGGAAAAAAGGAATGAGGTGGTCAAGTGCAAGGGCACCAGCCCCTTCTGGTAGAAGGGGAACTGTCCTAACATGTGCTTGCATCCCATTCTTGTTTTCATTTCACAATAACAGCTCCAGTCCATTGACTGCCCGGAGCTGTCAGTTTCTGTGTAACCAGGATCAAAACCAAATCTGATTCTCTGACACAAACCAAGGAAGGGACTGAGATTTCTGCTGTCACCTGGAGGAATATTCTTCGGCAGAGCGTGTTCATCATGAATTTGTAGGTGCTGCTCCTCAAGGTTTATTATACTTTATTACTATACTATTATACTTTATTATACTTATGTTTGACCATATAAGAGCCCTGGAAACTCCAGGTCTTGCCCAAAAGAAACACCAACACCATAGGCAAGCAGAGAAAACGGCTCAGCCTCCTTTCCCTCATATCAACCCTTCAGTATCCTCGCATTTAACCTGGAGGAAGCTCTCAAGCAGCAAGAGGGTTATTCACTTGCTGCAAATACAGCTGCTGCGTCAGCCACTGAATAATCATTGAGAACAACTAACAAGGTTGGGTCTGTGCAAGAGCAGCGTTCTGGTTGAGCCAGATATCACCCTGGAACGGTTTTAATTTAATTGGGACAAGCACTCTTTATGGGCACCTCAATTCATTGACCTTATTTTGGTTTACATAAGGCCAGCTGGTAATTGTTTTGAGACAAACTGAAGGAAGACCATTTTTACACTAAAGCATCAAGGCAGAGGCTGTCCCAACACCTATAGAACTGCAGAGCTGGAACAAGTAAAACTTTCCCATGCAGACAATAATAAATGAAAAGACTTTCCATTAGCAGGTTTACTAGAGACTGCTCTGCTTGGAGTGGATTCTCTATACCACTTAGACTCCGAGCCAAGCAGCTGGATCGGGTCTCCAGCTATGTATTCCTGGCAGCGATTCAGCCCAAATTTGACCGGGGCATCAACACAGCCAGAATACTGCATGAGGCTAAGTGTGCTGCACCAGAGAGTGCTGTGGGTCTGAAAGGGGGGAGAAGAGGGGAATGAGGAGGAGAAGGAGGCAATCCACACCTACACTCTCACTGCGTGGTGTAATAAATAGCTAAACTGACACCTTCAGAATCATTGCGTGCATCACCAAACTCTCAGGTGATAAAGAGAACAACTGCCAAGGCTTCACTGGAATAAGCAATCTGATTGTGAAGGGCGATTTACACTAACCCCCAGCAAGAGGTGACCCTCTAATGCTCTCTAACAAATTTGAATGACTTCAGAAGGCAGATCCTCCAAGAACAGTTTGTCACCAACCCACGAGGCTCTCAGTGCCAGCTCCCTCAGTGGGACTGAGCTGATGCTTTTGGTATGCTCTTGTTCCAATTTGCAAGTGCTGACAATCTGTAATTAATAGCAGCTTATCACCAGCTTAGTGGTAATGACCCAAGACAAAGGCAAGGCTGTAAATGGCATCCACCTTGCAGAACAACTTGTGATTTTTTTTTTTCCTTCCTCTAAATGAGAGTTGTACGCTAAGGGCTTCTGCTCTGGAGAACAGCATAAGGCTGATAAAATGCTATGGGAAACATAATAGAGAAGTGAAGGCCATACTTATAGGTTATAAGGAGAAGACTATGCCCGCCCCCCCAAACCTCCCTAGTCCAAGAGGCAAAGAGAAGTGACTCCTAGTTAAGGTAATTCAGCTGAGACTGGCCCATAAGGGAGTTATGGTCATTTTTCAGCAGCCTAAAATCAAGCTTTTACTCATCTACTTCGTTTTGCCTGTTATGGGCATTATAAGGTAACGGTCCAATGTGCAGTTTTGCCCCTGACTAGCCTGTGCCTGTACGAGAGCCCTGCAGACGCACCAATTGTCCTATTAAGCGAAGCACTCCCAGCATCTATAAAGGTGAAAAAACACGCAAGGAAAGGACCTCCCAGTGTTACAGCTTGCGCAACAGAGCCTGCACAGCTCCAGGTGCTTAGCATCCTTAGAGCTTGCTTGAGATCCCTTTACCAAAAGCACAGATCAGATCTGCACTTTAACTGTCCATGTTTTAATCATCTCCACGTCTCAGATGTAGCAGCACAACTCTGCGGTGCAGCCCCTGGATCTGCATAAGTTGTTCAGACTGCTGAGGATGGTGGTGGGAGCGGCTGAAACAAGCTACAGTGGGGTTTCCTCCCCCGCCCCCTTCTTGCTGCCCACAAAGCAGAACATACCACGGTGCTCACTAGATGTACGTTTGGAAGACTGCAGCTTGGTTTGGGAGGTGGGATAGGACGTGGGCATCAAACCCCGTGTTAATAAAAAGCAAATTTGTAGCTGGCAATTGTGGGCTTATACCTCCTCATTTTCTCTGCTCTCCTGCCCACCTTCCAGCCGTGGAAAAGTATTTGGGTTTTTGCTCATGATCTCAAAATTCACTCCCGTTCCACACCTCTGTGCCTTCATCTCAACGGACAGGGGTTTTATCCCCAAAGCTGTGCAAACGTGAACAGAGGTTACAGAGACGGTCGAGCAGTAACCGTCCTCCCACCCCCTCCCACGCCGCACCCAGCTCTCCCGAGCGATGGGACGGAGTCACCCCGGGCTGGCCGGGGACGATGCCGGGGGCTGCCGTCCCCGGGAGGCTCTGCCCGCCGGCGCGGAGCTCCGCGGAGCTCTGCTGCCCTCCTGTGCCCGCCGGCCAACCGCCACCGGCAGCAGGACGGAGAGCCCGGGGCCGCGGGGGCTTTCGGGGGCCACGGGCGAGGATGCCAGGCAAGGTGTCGGTCCCCAGGGCCTGCTTTTCTGGAGCTGCACGAGGAGGAGATGGGAGAAGAACTGACCCCAGGGGAGACACTGACGCAAAGATGCTAAAAATATGTCGCTCTAACTTTTTTGATGACAAAGTTTTCATTTCAACCGATTTTTTTAAAAGCATATCCCAAAACTTTGGCAATCTCGACAAAAAAATGAGGAAAAATATTTCTCTTTGTTCTCTTGTTTTATGACTTTTTTTTTTCTTTTTGCATTTGAAAAGGCAGAAGAGATAAGATCTTTGGCTCCAGAAGTGACTGGAGTAACCTGGAAACCCCAGCCTTTCGTTTAGGAGATATAGTCTTTCTTCCCCTGAGGAAATTCTAACACAACCTTTGTGGGTGCTCTGTCCTCTCCCTCATCAACGTAGCAGTAAGGAATGTGTCTGTATATAATGTATAGATATATATATACACACATATATGCAGTCTAAAATCTGTATTGACAGAACAAGGAGCAACTTCAGAAGGACAATTTTTGTACATTGCCAGATATTATTGAATAAACCACATTTAAAAGGTAAGAGCAATTCTCACGACAACACAAACACTAGGAAAAAACAGTGCTAAAACCCAGTCTACTTCAGTGCTATGGATGCCTCTACAAAAGCTTTGTATCATTGGACGGCCTCACCTCTATGAAATGCATAAAATGAAGGTGTAATGATTAAACACAGACCAACCGGGTCTCCCATTTCCAAGCTGAGCCAAGTTCTGCAAGGGGGAAAGGAAACGAATCTTCCAGGTTTCTGAGTGAACACTCTCATGAGGATCTCCCAGGCTCTGGACTTGGCCAGGGCAGGTTCTCCTCCCTCTCGTAATCTAGAGCAGCTCAAGAAATCATATAATATATGCCATGCCTGCATCGGTGGGTGGGCAGCCGAGGGTTGTTGGCACCCTATACACCTTCTGGGTCCTTCTTATCTCTTCCCCACCGCTCCACAACACTCTGGCATGCCTCTGCACTCTTGCAGATATTCTGGTCTCCAGACCTTTCTCGTGCCATTGGCACAGAGTACAGAAAAAGGGCTGGGGTCCAGAATTGGGGCTCAGAGGTTGAAAACAGGCACACAGTATGAGCCCCTGGAAGAACGACTTTATAGTTGACACAACCTGAGAGATTGAAAGGCTTTGTTTTCTTCCCCATCGTGGAAAACAGATTTGCCTCATTACAAAGTAGGAAAAAGTCAAAGCGGAAGGTGGAACTAAGAGAAAAGAGAAGAGGCAGCATCCCCTCCCACAACAGCTTATCACTGATGTAGACAACAGCAGTGAATCGTCATAGACCCTGTAATACCACAGGCCACCTTTGGTGACATTTTTCTTCCGCACTGGCTTGTGCTGGAGTATAAACATCTGAACATGCTCTGACCAGAGAATCTAAAGAAGCCGGGTTAAAAACTTTTGTTAGGATAGGTTTTTAAACAGCGGGCAAGCACAGGCAGTCACCTCACAGACACTACCATCAGCAGATTCCTGCTAGAGATACAACAGCACTACTAACAAACAAATGCATGCACACACAAACCAAACAGCAGAAACAGGACTACTGAACATACCCATCACATACCCACAACACCTCTTTTCTCATAAAAACCCAAATTTACTCTCAATCTAACAGGATCAAACCCATTTTAGAGAGGAGGAATCTTCCCTCTTCCACTATCCACTTCAGTCCCTTCTGCCTGTACACCCTCTGATCCTTCCTGCTGGCTTTTCATCCTTCAGCTCTGATCTCTGCTTTCTCTTAGTTCACCCTTACTTCTTTTCTTCCAGGTGTGGACTCACCCACTGGACCAACCCCAAGCTGCAGGAAAGTACTGAAGAGGAGGATGAGGTTTGCTCCAGAAGGGGAGATTCCTATTTTCTTGTGTCCTTGTGGAGTCACTGGGACCTCTTTGGGGATCTGAAATTTACCCCATTCTTTGGGATAAGTTACATGTGAGAGAGGGACACCAAAAAGGAGAGATGGAGGCATATTTTCTGTCCTTTCCCTTTGGTGGCTGAAATTTCAGTTTTCATACTCCAAAGCACAAGTTTTAACAATCTGGGATTGCACACAGCCTCATCTGGCCACCACCCTTGCTATCAGAAAGCAAAAGATCAAGGATGCACAGATGCCTTGGATGTGTGTCAGCAGCTGAAAGTATGTGTCAGGAAACGGCACTTCCCAGGGGAATACCCCAGAGAAGCAGGGATTTGTTGTGGTATAAGCTGGGCAGAAAGGGAAGAATCAGAATAGTTCTGGTGGGCTGAATTCTGAAAGGTTGAGTAACAGATGCAGAAATATCCCTAAAATTCTCTAGGATGACACATAAGAATTTCAAGATCAAATGGAAGGGATCACAGGACTTGGTTACCCTGGTGCCCTATCGCCTTGACGCCCCAGAGGTATTAAAGATGCATCTCTTGGTGTTGGCTGCGTGTGGGGTGGTTGGGTTTGGTTTTTTTTTTTGAGTGAAGCCAAAAAGGTGCAAGCAATGCTGGGGGCAGCTGGGGGTGCAGGAGCTGGAGGCCTTTTTCCATCCCTTGCTCATTGTTTTCCCTGACCTCACAACCTAGAAATAGTGCTGGTTCTTCAGTGTAAACGGTCAGCCTTGTGGGTGGGAAACAAAATCTCTTCACACGGGGTTGGAGAGAGAGGGGGGGGTGTGTGTGCGCGCATGCACGAGTGTGTTTGTGTGAGTGGCTGATTTAACACCTTTTCTTTATTGTCCTGGCTGTCGGACACATCAAACCGAGCCCGGATTTCTCAGTTTCTTGCCATCAGATGATTGCATTTCAAAAGGAACTGGGACAATGTAGCTAGGTCACACCTCAATTCAAGTGCAGCAATGGCCTGTCAATGTGCCTCTTACGGCCAGCAGGGCAGGAATTATAAAAATCTCTTAGGTTTACACAGAAAGTGGCAGAACAGGGAGGGGGGGAAAGAACCCATGCCAAGGGACTCCATATTTCCCACATCTCAGTGCTGCATTCCCTGTTGGAGGGCTCTCCAGATGCTGGGAATGATAACACAGATCCATTGTCCCTGGCTCCAGCTTCTTCCCTCCCTACCTTTAAACAAGCACACAAAAGCAGCCCCTCTCTTTCTGACCTTTTGGTTCAGGTGCACTGTTGCCACCAGCTCAGGCACAGGCAGCACACAGGCAGGGTTTGGGCAGCACCAGCACACCAGGGAATGGAAAAGCTCGTTAAAAGCAGCTTTAGGAGCGGTGCTAATAGGGCTCATCACTCCTTGTGTATTAGAAGAAAGAGAGAAAGCTGAGAGGGGTAGCCAGCCTGTGCCCAGCACCCGCCCCGCACTGGGTGCTCCTACCTATTTTCATGACCCGTCCAAAGACGGAGGTGTTGTCCACCGTGCTGCAGTTCCACCGCCGCTGCCGAAACTGGTACTGGCACTCCTTGATGGCACTGCGGGCCCCTTCCCCGATGAACACCATGTGCTCCTGGTAGAGCTGGCAGAGCTTGCGCTGCCCCGGGGAGAGCCCTGGCAGCTGGCTGCACACCGGCTGAGCGCCGATGATATACATCTCAGGTCTCTGGATGGGGTTCATGGCCAAAGACCTACGATGAGAAAAACATCCAAGGGAGTCTGGTGGGAGAGGGCCCCTCCGTGAAACGCCCGGCACCTTTCCCCACCAGCCCAGCCCAGCCCAGCCCTCCCCAGCCCCGCTTCGCTCCCAAAACCCGGCCGCGTTTCTCATGTCAGCTGCCTCCCTCTACGGCTCTGCCAGATGCGAGGCTTTTCCAGGGCTCTAGCGGGAGAAACACAGCTCGTTTGTAACCTGAGTTTAAACACAGAGGACACCCGGGATGGGGAGGGGGCAGAGAGAAAGCACAGCACTTTCTCTGCAAAAGAAAAAAGTGAGCTGCTTTGGGTTTTTTTTTTATTGCAGCCCGCCAGCCAGCGATGCCTGCCTTCGAGCCGGGCTATTTTCCGCTCTTTCGGGGAAGGGGGCTCCGCGGCTGCTCCCAGGGCTTTTTGGCAGCGGGTAGGAAACCTTACCCATCCTCTCCCGACGCTTTT